GTCAGGCTGGTCTCGAACTCCCGACCTCAGGTGATCCGTCCACCACGGCCTCCCAAAGTGCTGGGATTACAGGCGTGAACCACCGTGCCCGGCCCTAGTTGTAGCTTTCTTATAGAGAACATGCTTCGCAGTCAGCATTCCAGCCAGTTAGGGCTTTCCGTGGAGAGGTGCCCTCATGCTAGCTGGTTCTTACAACCAACAGCTGCTCCTTCCTTTGTGCCTGTCCCTCATGTCAATTGCTTTATGCCTATTATCTCATTTAACCTTCACAACCCTTAAGATAGGTGCTACTGTTATCCCATTCAGTAGATCAGAAAAGCAAGGCTCAGGTTATGGACTAAGAGCATACTCTAGAGAAGAGGTGGAGCTGGTTGAGTTACTTGGTCTGCAGAAAGGAGCATGAGGCCCAAATCTGTAGGCTGCTGGATAAGGCAGTATGAAATATCTCCTTTGAAATATCATGTCTACTTTGGACATGAAATATCTTTTGTTTTGTTTTTTGAAACCGAGTCTCTAGGTCTGTCACCTAGGCTGGAGTGCAGTGGCATGATCTTGGCTCACTGCAACCTCCGCCTCCTAGGTTCAAGCGATTCTCCTGCCTCAGCCTCCTGAGTAGCTGGAACTATAGGCATCCGCCACCTCGCTGGTGGCATTCTTAGTAGAGCTGGAGTTTCACAATGTTGGCAAGGCTAGTCTTGAACTCCTGACCTCAGGTGATCCGCCTGCCTTGGCCTCCCAAAGTGCTGGGATTACAGTTTTGATTTGTTTTGTTTTTTTTTTTTGGAGACACAGTTTCACTCTGTCTCCCAAGCTGGGGTGCAATGGCACGATCTCGGCTTACTGCTGTCTCCGCCTCCCATGGTCAAGTTTTTGTGCCTCAGCCTCCCGAGTAGATGGGATTACAGGCGCCCACCATCACACCCAGCTAATTTTTGTATTACTGGTAGAGACAGGGTTTTGCTGTGTTGGCCAGGCTGGTCTCGAACTCCTGACCTCAAGTGATCCGCCTGCTTTGGCCTCCCGAAGTGCTAAGATTACAGGCATGAGCCACCACACCCGGTCTGGACATGAAGTATCTTTACCAAGCACTGTTTTTGCCAAGTCCGTGGTGTGTGCTGAACCCAGCATGCTTGTGGACCCTGTGGAGTCGGCCTGTTCCTTGGAGTGGGCATCCAGATCTGTTCTTTGGCCCAGGGAGAGGAGCAGCCAGCTCTGAAAATGGAAACTGAAATGCCCGGGAGCTTTGTCCAGGAGGTATGGGGCAGGACTGGCTCAAGGCAAGGCGTTGGCCTCTTCCCATTTCCTTGTGGGGGCCAGTTCCAAGTCGGTCTCCCAGGGTGGTTGCTTTCCTGTCCCCGAGAGCTTTAGCAGCGGACTGAGTGCAGCCATGTCAGGCGTTGCCAATACAGGCTCTGGGAATAGAGTGCTCCCTGCACAGGCCGCCGCGGCAGGCTTTTCTTCTGCTTGCTTGTCTCAAGAGAGTTTGGCAGGTCTAGATTGAAATGATTAGCGCGGTGGGGCTTCCCCCACTTTTCTTGGGGGATTATGTCGAGGTCTATTAAGCATGTTCCCTCGGTATTTAATCCCACTCTGACACAGATTTTGCCGGCAGTCTGTTAAGTGGCATCGCTGAAACCTGGTTGCTGTTTTGTGGAGACCGCCTTTGTGCTGTCGCGCCGGTGGCACACGGGATTCCCAGTTGGCTTGACTTCCTTTCCTTTTGCTTTCTGTTGAACAGAGTCTGAAAAATATAGTCAAGACCTCATATTCACGCAGGACATTTAGCTGAGAGGCGGGTGTTGGGAGGGGGGACCCCCTGAGGTGACTGTGGGCAGAGGTTAGCCCAGGGCTCGGAGGGGCTTTGAGGGCATGACATGGCAGGATGGCCCTGAGAATGCAGCGATCTGTTTATTGTCGCTGTCTCAGTGCCCCTTCATCAACCAGCAGCAATTTAACAAAAAATCCTGTGTATTTCTCTGCCTCTCTCAACTCTAGGGAAACAGAGTTTCAAGTAGCCACTGCCTGTTTTGTGAAAAGTTGTATGGTTGATTCTCTTTGAGCCCAGGTGTGCCGGGAGCTGTTGATATCAATAGTGTGCAGAATCCCTCTTTGGGTCAGGTCTTTGCAGGATGGATTTGAATGCTGTGCTTCTCTACCTTGGTGTTCCTTTCTAGAATCATTCTGGACAATGGTTAAGGCTCTTGGAGTTCCTTGGATGGTCTTTTGTCCTCTGCCCTCAGGTGTTAGATGTAGAGTAGCCTGTACCTTCGTCCGAGCCAGCAGGTGGCATCGAGACAGGGAAGGAGGCCTCAGCTGACCATGGGCAAGACTGTCACCTGCTGTGTGGCAGTGTTGGACATAAGGGAGGGCGTGCTGAGGCTGCCACTCACTCTGGCTCAGCTGACCCTGCCCTGATGATGATCATGCACCTGCCTTGTGGACCAAGTATGTTGTCATTTGTATCTTTTTTCCTACAAGGACAGTGCAGAAAAGGAGGTAGTCAAGCAACCTGGCACAGATTTGGCATTTAAAATATTAGTGACCTGGCCGGGCGCGGTGGCTCAAGCCTGTAATCCCAGCACTTTGGGAGGCCGAGACGGGTGGATCACGAGGTCAAGAGATCGAGACCATCCTGGCTAACCCGGTGAAACCCCATGTCTACAAAAAAAAAAAAAAACCAAAAAACTAGCCAGGTGAGGTGGTGGGCGCCTATAGTCCCAGCTACTCAGGAGGCTGAGGCAGGAGAATGGCGTGAACCTGGGAGGCGGAGCTTGCAGTGAGCTGAGATCCGGCCACTGCACTCCAGTGGGGGCGACAGAGCGAGACTCTGTCTCAAAAAAAAAAAAAAAAATATTAGTGACCTGGATGGTGATCATGTGCCTCTCAACTTTATGCCTTCTAGACTTAAGTGTCGAGAGTAATGTTGTTCTTAGCTTTTATTCGTGAAACCCCAGCATGTATACCTCCTGTCTGTCCCAGGCCTTCTCGCACTCAGTCTCTCTCTCCCCCTGAGTTTCTCTTGAGGTGTGGCCCTGGCCTGCCCCCAATATTCCCATCAGGGTGCCACTTCACAGTGTCTGCATAGCTCCCGGCGGCGGGAAGTTTGCCATGTCACTGAGTAACAGCTTCTCCCTTGGGACAAAACCAGTTTTCCCAGTCATGTGGCCCTTTCAGTGTGGGTGAGGCATCCAGTGAGGGCTTTGCTCCACGCCTGGTTTCTGTGGGCCGCACCCCAGCGGGAAGGCACCTCCCTTGTCAGGACTGCAGCCTGCGCCCCTGCCCCGCCCCATCCCAAGTTTGCTAGTCAGGGAAGCAACACGTGGGTGACGTCACCTGTGTTGTTGCCTTTGAAGCAGCAGAAAGAGTTTTGTGTCCTGCATTCTGTTTCGAGAACTGCCCTTGACCTCTACCCGGGAGTATCTGTGGTGCTGGGCCACTTGGGTTTGAAATAGAATCCATCCCCTTTGAACTGGGAATGAGGGTTCATAGAAAAAGCCCCTCTTGAGGAGCTCCTTGATGTTTAGGTAGCAGTCCTGAGGCAGACAAAGGGAGGGACACAAGTGAAAGGACAGTGGAGGGTCCTGGGAGGAGTCTGCCGCATGTGCTGGAAACTTCAGGCAAGCATGCCTAATGCACTGGCTCCCGCCTGGGCAGCTGCAGGCCTTTCCGCGGAGGTAGCTCCATTTGTGGCTAACCTTTTGGGGCCTGGGCTCGTGACGTTTCCTCCTTACATCCCTTCTCTTTGTGTCCTAGTTAATTGAGACGGAAGGAGTTGGAGGCTCTCACACAAGCCTTTTTGTGGTCATTCGTGGGGAACTTTGGGAGCTTTTTAAAATTATTCAAAAAAATTGTTTTTTTCCTTTACCAACTCCTGTACTTATGAACACTGTGTCTGTGGGTTTGGCTCAAAAACTGGATTCTTTTTCCAGCTGCCCCTCCTGAACCCAATTTCTTCCCTTACTCCTACCCCACCCCGTAGATATTTACATATACAGAATGTCCACTGGGCAGTGTCATGTTTGGAGAGCACTTTTAAAGTTCTGGGGATTGGGATGACATGGGGGAATTGGAAGAGTATAGGATGGGGAGCCAGAAGGGGTTCCCAGTACCTGCAGGTGAGTCAGAGGAGGGAGAGAAAGCAGGGCCGGTACCATGTGAGGTCCTCAGGAGGGGCCTGGGATCCGTCCCCCTCCTGCAGCTGCTCAGTGTTTGCTTGCCTTCAGCCCAGAGATGTGGGACTGACGAGGGTGGGTCAGACCTGGTGACCTGGGACTCTGAGCCTGTTTCCAGCAGTTCTCATGGGGCTTTTGTAATAAAGTACTTTGAAGGGTTCTCAGGCCACAGCCCAGGCCTGCCTGTGAGTGGGTCCCAGGTAGCTTGGGGCCACCCCTGGTTCAGAACCAAGGCCCTCTCCACGGTGTACAGCCACCACCCTCAGCCTCAGGTGGCACTGATGCCCAGCTCCCTGGGGCCCGGGGCCCAGCAGGCGATCCTGGGCCTGGGAGGGAGGGGATGCGGGTCTGTGCTCTCTGGGAGAGGCACTTCTGTGGTCGAGCGAGGTTTAGAAGTGCCCTAAGTGCTTCACAGCAGAGCTGTGTGGGTTTCTAGACTGTGGGGCTTCCTGGAAGTTCTGCAGTGTTAAGCATTGTGAATCCCCAAGATGGGGCTCTTCCCACTTATGTGACCACAGCATCTTGTCGGTTTCTTCTTCTAAGGACACTAGTCCTGTTGGGAAATCTGACGTAGATGTGTCCCGGTGTTAGTGGTAATGCCCTTAAACTCCTACCCCTCCCCCAGCCAGGTTAGACTGGAGCAAGCACAGTTCTTTCAGGGGGAGGATAAGGGATAGAACAAGAGGCCATGGCCCCCGTGTCCTCCCAGGGTCTCACCTCGCTCACAGCACTCAGGCCCTTGGTTCTTGTCAGCCTTGGCCAGCCCAGAGCCCTAGGAGGCCTCCTCTCAAACCTTGTGTTCATGGTGGCTTTGGGGCTCATTTGTAGGGAAGATGGAGAGTTGGAAGAAGGCGAATTGGAAGATGATGGGGCAGAGGAGACCCAGGATACCTCCGGAGGGCCTGAGAGAAGCCGGAAAGAAAAGGGGGAGAAGCATCACAGTGATTCAGACGAGGAGAAGTCCCACAGGAGACTGAAGCGGAAACGGAAGAAAGAGCGGGAGAAAGAGAAAAGGAGGTCGAAGAAGAGGAGGAAATCCAAGCACAAAGTAGGTCCAGGATTCACTGGGACTGCCACTGCCTGGCATCGGGCCTGGCTGAGAGCCCCAGGGGCTGAGCTTTTGCTCTCCGCCCCAGAGGGCACTCTTAATGCCTTTGCTTATCTCAAATTGGATAAAGACCTTTTTTAAGAGTTGGTAGCTTATGCTCCGTTGCCACTAAGTGCCCCAGGTGAGGTGTTTCCGGTGAAGCACAGAGCCCTGCGGCACGTGCCAGCATAGCTTGTCCTGAGGCTGACTGCGCCTAAGTGGCCCGCCTGCAGCAGGGTTGCTGAATCTTCTTCCCCTGTCATTACAGCGCCACGCTTCTTCTAGCGATGACTTCTCTGACTTCTCAGATGACTCGGATTTCAGCCCCAGTGAGAAAGGGCACCGCAAGTACAGAGAGTACAGCCCCCCATATGCGCCGGTGAGTGACTGGCGTGCCCTGCTGAGCTCTGGGGCCGGGAGGAGTTCAACTGCTTGTGTTTCTTGAGCACTTGCTGTGTTCTGGGCATTTTATGTGGGTTTCAGTCCTGGGTCATCAGGTATTAGTTTAATCCCCGTTTTATGACTTAGGAAACTGAGACTTAGACAATTTCAACAGGGCAGCCTAGATAACAAAGTGAGACCCCATCTCCACAAAAAATTAAAAAATTAACCAGGCATGCCTGTAGTTGCAGCTGCTCAGGAGGCAGAGGTTGAGAAGATCCCTTGAGCCCAAAAGTTCAAGGTTACAGTGAGCTATGATCAGCCACTGCACTCTAGCCTGGGTGACAGAGCAAGACCCTGTCTCAAAAGGAAAAGAAAGTTTCAACAAAGTTGCCCAGTTCTGAAGTAGAGGAGCTGGGTTTGAACCCAGGCCCTAGCTGACCTCCGTGAGGTATGCTCTCGAGCCTCCTCTGTGCGGCCTTAGCAAGGCCCTGTGTGTCTCAGAGAAAGATGCTGACTGGTCCACGTCATGGCTGACTGGCTTCCACTCTTCACAAATGACCTTTTTGGGAAATTGGCAAGAGAATGAAATGTTCTCAAGTGGCCTGTAGGCAGGCAGTACTCGGCCACTGTCGCTTTCATTTCAAGCAGCAATTTAAATTATTTGTTCATTTTGTATACCATTTCTTCCCCCAGAAAATTCCATAAGAGAAAAGCAAATCTTTTTTTTTTTATTTTTTTGAGGCGGAGTCTCGCTCTGTCACCCAGGCTGGAGTGCAGTGGCGCAATCTCAGCTCACTGCAAACTCCGCCTCCTGGGTTCACGCCATTCTTCTGCCTCAGCATTCTGAGTAGCTGGGACCACAGGCACCCGTCACCACACCCGGATAATTTTACGTATTTTTAGTAGAGACAGGGTTTCACCGCGTTAGGCAGGATGGTCTCGATCTTCAGACCTTATTATTTTATTTTTATTTTTATTTTTATTTTTTGAGACGGAGTCTCGCTCTGTTGACCAAGCTGGAGTGCAGTGGCCGGATCTCAGCTCACTGCAAGCTCCGCCTCCCGGGTTTACGCCATTCTCCTGCCTCAGCCTCCCGAGTAGCTGGGACTACAGACGCCCCCCACCTCGCCCGGCTAGTTTTTTGTATTTTTTTTAGTGGAGACGGGGTTTCACTGTGTTAGCCAGGATGGTCTCGATCTCCTGACCTCGTGATCCACCCGTCTCGGCCTCCCAAAGTGCTGGGATTACAGGCTTGAGCCACTGTGCCCGGCCCAGACCTTATTATTTATTGAGACAGAGTCTTGCTCTGTTGCCTAGGCTGGAGTGCAGTGGGGCAATCTCGGCTCATTTCAACTTCCACCTCCCAGGTTCAAGTGATTCTCCTGTCTCAGTCTCCCGAGTAGCTGGGATTACAGACATGCGACACCATGCCTGACTGATTTTTGTATTTTTAGTAGAGACAGGGTGTCGCAATGTTGGCCAGGCTGGCCTCGAACTCCTGACCTCAGGTGATTCGCCCACCTCAGCCTCCCAAAGTGCTAGGATTACAGGCATGAGCCACTGCACCCGGCCGGTTGAGAAATGTTTTAAAGTTAGTAGGTCTTTAAAGCTGTCCCAGGTATCCCGTGACCCAGCATCATCCATCACAACAAATGATTCATTGTCCAATACCATAGTTGAGATTGATCTACTGGTGTAGGTTCGGCCTTCAGACCTGAGAGAGGCAGGAAATGGAACATTGCATGCTTTTTATGAACTAGAGCTGGAGGTATTTTAAAGATCTGCTCAAGTACTTGTATGTGTGTCTGTGTATCTAGCTGTATTTTGCATTGTCCTGTTTTTCTGTAATATGGACTTTTAAAAATTAGTAGGCTTTTTGTTTGTTTGTTTATTTATTTATTGAGATGGGATCTCATTCTGTTGCCCAGGCTGGAGGGCAGTGGTGTGATCTCACCTCACTGCAGCCTCGAGCTGCCTGGGCTCAGTGGCTCAGGTGATCTTCCTGTGTTAGCCTCCTAAGTAGCTGGAACCATGGGCTGCCATACCAAGGCTAATTTTTGTACTTTTGGTAGAGATGGGGTTTCAAAACGTTGCCCAGGCTGTCTCAAATTCCTGGGGTCAAATGATCTGCCCACCCTGGCCTCCCAAAGTGCTGGGATTAGAGACATGAGCCACCATGCGCAGCCGACTTTTTTATTTATTCATTTATTTAGAGATGGAGTCTCGCTCTGTCGCCCAGGCTGGAGTACAATGGCACGATCTCGGCTCACTGCAACCTCTACCTCCCAGGTTCAAGTGATTCGCCTGCCTGAGCCTCTCAAGTAGCTGGGATTACAGGCGCCCCCCACCAAACCTGGCTATTTTTTTTTTTTTTTTTTTTGTATTTTTAGTAGAGACGGGTTTCACTATGTTGCCCAGGCTAGTCTCGAACTCCTGACCTTGTGATCTTCCTGCCTTGGCCTCCCAAAGTGCTGGGATTACAAGCCTGAGCCACCATGCTTGTTGTTGTTTAATTGTTTTTTGAGACGGAGTCTCGCTCTGTCACCCAGGCTGGAGTGCAGCGGCATGATCTTGGCTCACCACATCCTCTGCCTCCTGGGTTCAAGTGATTCTCACGCCTCAGTTTCCCGAATAGCTGGGATTAGAGGTGCCCTTCACCACGCCCGGCTAATTCATTTTTTTTTTTTTTTTTTTTTTTTTTTTTTTGAGACGGAGTCTCACGCTGTTGCCCAGGCTGGAGTGCAGTGGCGCGATCTCGGCTCACTGCAAGCTCCGCCTCCTGGGTTCACGCCATTCTCCTGCCTCAGCCTCCTGAGTAGCTGGGACTACAGGCGCCCGCCACCGCGCCCGGCTAATTTTTTGTATTTTTAGTAGAGACGGGGTTTCACTGTGGTCTCGATCTCCTGACCTTGTGATCCGCCCGCCTCGGCCTCCCAAAGTGCTGGGATTACAGGCTTGAGCCACCGCGCCCGGCCTCATTTTGTATTTTTAGTAGAGACTGGGTTTCACCATGTTGACCAGGCTGGTCTCGAACTCCTGAACTCAAGAGATCTGCCCGCCTGGGCCTCCCAAAGTGCTGGGATTACAGGTGTGAGCCATCGTGCTCGGCCTTTATTTTTTTTGAGATGTCGTTTTGCAGTGTCACCCAGGCTGGAGCGCAGTGGTGCAATCTCGGCTCACTGCAACCTCTGCCTCTCCCGGGTTCAGGCAATTCTGCCTCAGCCTCTCAAGTAGCTGGGATTACAGGTGCCCACCCCATACTTGGCTTTTTTTTTTTTTTTTTTTTTTTTTTTTTTTTGAGACGGAGTCTCGCTCTGTCGCCCAAGCTGGAGTGCAGTGGCCGGATCTCAGCTCACTGCAAGCTCCGCCGCCCGAGTTTACACCATTCTCCTGCCTCAGCCTCCCAAGTAGCTGGGACTACAGGCGCCTGCCACCTCGCCCGGCTAGTTTTTTTGTATTTTTTAGTAGAGACGGGGTTTCACTGTGTTAGTCAGGATGGTCTTGATCTCCTGACCTCGTGATCCGCCCGTCTCGGCCTCCCAAAGTGCTGGGATTACAGGCTTGAGCCACCGCGCCCGGCCCATACTTGGCTTTTTTTTTTGTTTTTTTGCATTTTTGAATTTTTAGTAGAGATCTCATTTCATGATGTTGGCCAGGCTGGTCTCCATCTCCTGACCTCGTGATCTGCCCGCCTTGGCCTCCCAAAGTGCTGGGACTACAGGCGTGAGCCACTGCACCCGGGCCCCTGGTCCCCCGGCCCCCTGACTTTATTTTTTAGAGCTGTTTTAGGTTTATAGAAAATTGAGCAGGTAGTAGTAGAGTTCCCTTCTCCCCTCCGCCTGCCGCCAGTTTCCCATTACCAATGTCTTGCATTGTTGTGGTAACTTTGTTACAATTGATGAGCCAGTATTGATAACATTGTTATTACTTAGTGTTGTGTAGTTCTTTGGGTTTTGCCCAGTGCACCCTTTATTGTTACATATTCACTATTATTCCATTGTCTGGATATACCAGTTTGTTTTCCATTTACCTGTTGGAGGATGTCTTGGTTACTTCTGTTTTTATGAGTATCTTTAACTTCTTCTAGTACCACTTGGCACTACCACACTTTGGAAAGCATCATTTGAGACGGCTTTCTAGCCCGGCTGCCAAGCAGGCCATTTATTGAATTCCAGGGCCCTAGCAAAATTGTGACTGAGCAGCCCCCTCCTGCTTCCCAGGCCCCTTCCTGTGTGCTTGCTCTGCATCCCTGGGAAATGCTCCCTTCTCCTCCCCTTCGTTCATCAGGGATTAGGGGTCTGTGGTTCTGTTTTCTTTCTAGCTCTGGTCCTTTATGAGGAACAGAAACACTTGGGCCCTCTGCTACCCCCACTTCCTGGTATGAGAACCTGTCCTCAGAGGGTCTGGGGACCAGCAGTGCAACCCTGGGACAGTAGCAGCACCCAGACAGACATGTTCATTTAGGGAACACTGGGGATCTTGGTAGTTTGCACCCGCAGCTGTGGGATCCGGCTCACCTCTTCTCCCCATCTCTGGGACACAGTCCCACCAGCAGTACCCCCCATCGCATGCCACGCCCCTGCCCAAGAAGGCTTACTCCAAGATGGACAGCAAGAGCTATGGCATGTACGAGGACTACGAGAACGAGCAGTATGGGGAATACGAGGGCGACGAGGAGGAGGACATGGGCAAGGAGGACTACGACGACTTCACCAAAGAGCTGAACCAGTACCGGCGTGCCAAGGAGGGCAGCAGCCGTGGCCGAGGTGAGCCCCGCCTTGGCAATTTCTCCTCCGGGGCATCGGAGCCACCCGGGTGGCCTGGCCTCACAGAGCCTCAAGTTTGGTCACTTAGGGTTGGGATAAGTGTACAAAGAAGGGCCGGGATCTGCACATGTGTGGCACAGGGGACCAGAGAGATCACCCGCTGGTCTGTGGTTGGGGTGGTGCCAGGCTGGTGTGAGGCAGGGAGAAGGCCAGCGTGCCTGAAGGGTCACTTCCTGGTTGGCTCTCGGGGGACAAGGGCATAGCTTCTCTCTCACCTGGGCTAGGGTCACTGACAGCTGGCTGCCCCACCCCGCAGCAGTGCTCCCTCATTCTCCCAGCCCCATTCACCTGACAAGGTGTGACTGCAGTCCTTGCCTCTGCCCCACCTCTGAACCTTGGACCTGTGTCCTTTGGGAGGAAGGTGGAGGAAGCTTGAGCACCAGAGACACAGTAGCCCTGACTGGCCTCTTAGAACCATCTCTGCCAGCACAGTGGCTCATGCCTGTAATCCCAGCAATTTGGGAGGCCGAGGCAGGCGGATCACCTATGGTCAGGAGTTCGAGACCAGCCTGTCCAACAACAGCAACAAAAAAGAACCATTGAACTGTCTCCTGCCAGAAAGACTGCCCAGCCTGAGAGTGGCTTCTGGAATCTTCCAGCACAGGGGTTCTCAGATTGTGAGCCCTGCCTGAGGCCCAGCTTGTTGAGTAGCTGTTCATTCATTCCCTCTTTTTTTTTTTTTTTTTTTTGAGACTGAGTCTCGCTCTGTCACCAGGCTGGAGTGCAGTGGTGCGATCTTGGCTCCCTGCAACCTCCACTTGCCGGGTTCAAGCAGTTCTCCTGCCTCAGCCTCCTGAGTAGCTGGGATTACAGGCGCATGCCACTACGCCCAGCTAATTTTTGTATTTTTAGTAGAGACGGAGTTTCACCATGTTGGTCAGGCTGTTCTCAATCTCATGACCTTGTAATCCGCCCGCCTCGGCCTCCCAAAGTGCTGGGATTACAAGCATGAGCCACCTCACCCGGCTCATTCGTTCTTCTAGCAGTCTTTCTTGGACACCTCCCTGGGGCAGCCCCTATGCTTTTCGGAGGTCCTAGACCAGTGCTGTCCAGTAGAATTAGATTGGAAGCCACCATATCACTTACATTTTCTGGTAGCCACATTTAAAAAGTGAAAAGGACACTGGATAGTCCCAGCTACTTGAGAGGTGGAGGCGGGAGAATCACTTGAGCCCTGGAGTTGGAGGCCAGCCTGGGCAACACAATGAGACCCCATCACTCTTTTTTGTTTATTGGGAGACAGAGTCTTGCTCTGTCACCCATTCTGGAGTGCAGTGGCACGATTTAGGCTTACTGCAACCTCTACCCTCTGCCTCCCAGGTTCAAGCAATTCTTGTGCCTCACTCCTGCAAGTAGCTGGGATTACAGGCATGTACAACCACACCCATCTTATTTATTTATTTTATTTTATTTATTTTTTTGAGATGGAGTCTTGCTCTGTCGCCCAGGCTGGAGTACAGTGGCATGATCTCGACTCACCGCAAGCTCTGCCTCCCGGGTTCATGCCATTCTCCTGCCTTAGCCTCCCAAGTAGCTAGGACTACAGGCGCCTGCCACCATGCCCAGCTAATTTTTTGTATTTTTAGTAGAGACAGGGTTTCACCATGTTAGCCAGAATGGTCTTGATCTTCTGACCTGGTGATCTGCCCACCTCAGCCTCACAAAGTGCTGGGATTACAGGCATGAGCCACTGTGCCCGGCCTATCTATTTATTTTTGAGACAGAGTCTCACTCTGTCACTCATGCTGGAGTACAGTGGCACCATGTTGGCTCACTGCAACCTCCGCCTCCCAGGTTCAAGCAATTCTCGTGCCTCAGCCTCCCTAGTAGCTGGGATTACAGGCCCGTACCACCATGCCTGGCTTTTTTATTTTTAGTAGAGATGGGGTTTCACTATGTTGCCCAATCTGGTCTTGAACTCCTGAGCTCAGGCAATCCGCCCGCCTTGGCCTCCCAAAGTACTGGGATTACAGTTGTGAGCTACTGTGACTGGACTTAAGTTTTTATATTTTTAGTAGAGATGGGGTTTCGCTGTGTTGGTCAAGCTTGTCTTGAACTCCTGTTCTCAAGTGATCTGCCCAACTGGGCCTCCCAAAGTGCTGAGATTATAGGATTGAGCCACTGCACCTGGCCATTCTTTTCTTTTTTTCTTTTAAGTGAAGGAAAAAGTGAAACCAATTAAATTAATTTTGATATTCTATTTTCAACCTAATATGTTTAAAATCTTATTTCAACATGTAATCAAATGAGACAAATGCGATATTTTATATTCTTTCTCATTTGTGTGTGTGTGTGTGTGAGAGAGAGAGAGACGTGATCTCATTCTGTTGCTCAAACTGGAGTGCAGTGGCACAATCTCAGCTCACTGCAGCATTTGCCTCCTGGATTCAAGCAATTCTCCCACCTCAGCCTCCCGGGTAACTGGGACTACAGGTGCGCGCCGCCACACCTGGCTAATTTTTCTATTTTTAGTAGAAACAAGGTTTCACCATGCTGGCCAGGCTGGTCTCAAACTCCTGACTTCAGGTGATCTGCCCACCTCAGCCTCCCAAAGTGTTGGGATTACAGGCGTTAGCCACCACACCCAGCCTTTTTTTTTTTTTTTTAGCTAAGTCTTTGAAGTCCAGAGTGTGTTTTGGACTCTTGTCTAAATCACAAGTTCAAACTACAGGGCTAGCTAGTCTTGTCAGACTTCAAGGCTAGCATTTTATAGTTTGGGGCAGACGTGTTAGTTGCTCATTAGCCTGTGGGCTGGTGTTTGCCATATTGGACAGTGCAGCTCTAAGTGGACAAGTCCCTGTGAGGAAGGGGAGTGAGTACTGCAGTAGCTGTGTGTCCAGTGTGCTGAGGGACCCCCACTGAGAGAACCAGAGGGTCCACTAGCCTACCTGGGGCATCTAGGAAGGCTTCTTGGAGGAGGAGGAGGAGGCTGAAGTGATTGACTTCAGGAGCAGAAAGTGGGTTGTCTTCTTTCTTGCCGGTGGCATCTGCTCCCGCTGAAGGCTCACTGTCTGAATCTCCATGCAGGCAGCCGAGGCCGGGGCCGGGGCTACAGGGGCCGAGGAGGCCGTGGAGGATCGCGAGGCCGTGGCATGGGCAGGGGCAGCCGAGGCAGGGGCAGAGGCTCTATGGGAGGAGACCACCCGGAGGATGAAGAGGATTTCTACGAGGAAGAGATGGACGTAAGGTTTCCTCTGGCCCTGGGGACGTCGGGGTGAGGCTGGTGGGCTTTCCGGGGCGTGAGCACTGCTCATAGAGGCTGTGAGGCTAAGGTAGGAAGACATATGACCCTTCTGAAGGAAAGGAAGCCTCACAGGGCAGATGTATGTGTTTACAAATGTTCATTTATCATTTTGGAATAGATAAAACCTTCATGTGGTTTAAAGTAGAAAAGGTATCAGCCAGGCGTGGTGGCTCACACCTGTAATCCCAGTGCTTTGGGAGGCTGAGGCGGATGGATCATGAAGTCAGGAGATGGAGACTATCCTGGCTGACACGGTGAAACCCTGTCTCTGCTGAAAATATAAAAAATTAGCCAGGTGTGTTAGCACGTGCCTGTAGTTCCAGCTATTCATTCAGGAGGCTGAGGCAGGAGAATCACTTAAACCCAGGAGGCGGGGTTGCAGTGAGCCAAGATCGCGCCACTGCACTCCATCCTGGGCGACAGAGCGAGACTCTGTCTCAAAAAAAAAAAAAGAAGAGGTATCACAGGATGTGCTGTGAAAAACATCCTGTCACTAGAGAGAAGTTTCCTGAAAGTCCTCTAGAGACATTTCCAGCCAGGCACGTGGTCCTTCATCCCTGCCCCCACCCGGGAGAAGGAGCGGCAGGCGCACTGCACCTGCTATCCTGGTCGTACCCACAGACCTTCCACGCCAGTCCACGGCCCGCTGCCCACTTGCCCTTTTGGAGCCCCACAGCGATGTGTATGTAGGGAGGCGCCATGCTGGGTTTGCCTATTGGGTTGGGTTTTCAGAGTGAAGACTGCAGTGGGAAAGATTGGGACCACCTCTCTGTCGTCAGGCTCTGTGGAGACGGGTTATGGTATGAGTCCCCTGGATGGTCACCATCCTTCAGAAAGGGGCAGTGTGTAGGTGGGGACAGTGTTCATTGTTCCCTACCTGACGTTCTCCTGCTCTCTCCTCTGCGGATTCCAGTATGGAGAGAGTGAGGAGCCAATGGGAGACGATGACTATGACGAGTACTCCAAGGAGCTGAACCAGTACCGCCGGTCCAAGGACGGCCGAGGCCGAGGTAGGCAGGGCCTGGAGGGGACACGCTGGGTGGGGCAGGGATTCCAGCAGCTGCTGGAATCTAGTCCCAGGGGTGGGGAGGGGGTGGTCGGCAGGTTTTAACACCGTCTCCCCTCCGCAGGGCTAAGTCGAGGCCGTGGCAGGGGCTCCCGAGGCCGAGGGAAAGGGATGGGCCGGGGCCGAGGCCGAGGTGGCAGCCGAGGAGGGATGAACAAGGGCGGAATGAACGATGACGAAGACTTCTATGATGAGGACATGGGCGTGAGTTGACTCCACTCTGATCTGATGTTTGGGCCAAGATCCCTTCTTAGCCTTTTTTCCCTTTAATGAGTCGTTCGTTCTGTAAGCTGATCCTGTCCCCTTTGCTGTCATCAGCCACCCCCCAGAGGGGTGGCCAGCGTTGACCAGCATAACCAGCGATATCCTGAGGAGATAGATGTACTGCTGCTGAGACCCCGTGTTTAAAACCATTTCATTAGCAGCACCTGCAGCCATACCTAACACGTCTCTGAGGTTCAGAAGGTTCTAGGTGAACTATCCAGTTAGTCTTGGAAGGTTTTGCAGGGAGGCCCATGCCACTGCCTCTAGGTGTGGTGGATGTGTTCCTCCACAGGTGTGTGGAACTTCAGGTGTAAGTGACTAACAACTCCAAGGGCTAGAGCTTTTCCTCACCAGGCACCAGCACCCTGCACCATGGGGCTTAAATGTGCACGCAGTCTCAGAGTTAGGTGCAGCCTGCCCATTGGTGCTCTTGTGAGCTCTTAAGGGAGTCCTCATCCCCTTCTCCCGTGCTGCTTATTAACCCCAATCCCATCTCCACCCTTCCCTTTCATCCCCCTTTACATCCACACCCTGTCTATTGCAGGACGGTGGTGGTGGAAGCTACCGGAGTCGTGACCACGACAAGCCCCACCAGCAGTCGGACAAGAAAGGCAAAGTCATCTGCAAGTACTTCGTGGAAGGGCGCTGCACATGGGTAAGGAGCACTGAAAACTCCCAGGCACCTCTAGGAGGCCAGCAGCCCCCAGAGGACACACGGCTTCCAGAATGTTCTGGAGCTGTGGTCACGCTGGGTGGGAGTGACTGTGTGGTCTTTGTCCTTGTGGACACTTGCCGGTACTGAGAGCTGCCTGGGGGGCCTGAAAGACTCAGGTTGACTTTCAGAGGGAGGAGGACCCACAACAAGATGAGGATTTTGGGTTTTAGGGGAATTTTTTGGCCAAAATTTTCAACCGGTCCATAAAGCCTGAATTGTAATTATGAAGGTTGATGTGAATGCAGAGAAGCACCATATCCTGGTGAAGTTACTGAGCTTCAGGGTTGCATGGGGAATGATTAAAGCATCCAGATAGAAGAGGAGGGGAGGATGAGGTTAACCGTGGACTTCATAGCAAAGGTCAATGTCAGAAGATGGACCAATGACCACAGAGTTCTTTCCACCGAAGGAAACAAGTGTAATAACCCAGCGTTAGTTCAGCCGGCAACTTCTTACCCCAGTATCCCAGGCAGCAACAGACACTAGCAGATGTGTGCTCAGGGCATACTGCACCCCTGCATCTGTCTTGGGAAGAAACAGATGCTTTAAACAAATAATGTTATGTATAAAATAGTTTGTTTTTCCTTTGAGACCAAGTCTCACTGTCAACCAGGCTGGAGTGCAGTGGCACAATCTCGGCTCACTGCAACCTCTGCCTCCTGGGATCAAGCGATTCTCATGCCTCAGCCTCCCGAGTAGCTGGGACTATAGGCGCACGCCACCACACCTGGTTAATTTTCATATTTTTAGTAGAGATGGGGTTTCGCCATGTTGGCCAGGCTGGTCCCAAACTCCTGATTCTAGCCTCCCAAAGTGCTGGGATTACAAGTGTGAGCTACTGCGCCTTGCCAGTATTTCTTAGTTACAGCTTATATTCTGTTAAGAAACTTGAAATACATATAAGCAAAAACAAATGATACACTCTGGGCAACATAGACCCCATCTCGTAAGCAAAAAAAAAAAAAAAAAAAAAAATTAAAACCCATTGCGATGGCGTCTGCCTATAGTCCCAGCCTCTAAGGAGGCTGAGGTGGGAGGATCACTTGAGCCTGGGAGATCAAGGCTGCAATAACCTGGGGTTGCACTGCTGCACTCTAGCCTGGGTGGCAGAGTGAGACCCTGTATCAAAAAAAAAAAGGGCAGGTGTGGTGACTCACACCTGTAATCCCTGCCCTTTGGGAAGCCAAGGCATGTGGATCACCTGAGGTCAGCAGTTTGAGACCAGCCTGACCAACGTGGTGAAACCCCATCTCTACTAAAAATGCAAAAATTCGCCGGGCATGGTGGCTCACGCCTGTAATCCCAGCACTTTGGGAGGCCAAGGCGGGTGGATCACGAGGTCATGAATTTGAGACCATCCTGGCCAACACAGTGAAACCCCTACTCTACTAAAAATACAAAAATTAGCTGGGCTTTGTGGTGGGCGCCTATTACAGGCTATTCCCAGCTACTTGGGAGGCTGAGGCAGGAGAATCGCTTGAACCCGGGTGGTGGAGGTTGCAGTGAGCCGAGATCGTGCCACTGCATTCATTCCAGCCTGAGTGATAGAGCTAGACTCTGTCTCAAAAAGTAAAAATAGGCCGGGCGCGGTGGCTCAAGCCTGTAATCCCAGCACTTTGGGAGGCCGAGGCGGGTGGATCACGAGGTCAGGAGATCAAGACCATCCTGGCTAACATGGTGAAACCCCGTCTCCACTAAAAATACAAAAAACTAGCCGGGCGTGGTGGCGGGCGCCTGTAGTCCCAGCTACTCGGAGGCTGAGGCAGGAGAATGGCGTGAACCTGGGAGGCGGAGCTTGCAGTGAGCCGAGATCGCGCCACTGCACTCCAGCCTGGGTGACACAGCGCGAGACTCCGTCTCAAAAAAAAAAAAGTAAAAATAAAAAATAAAAAGATGAGACAAATAGGCATTCCTAAGAGTTAGGGGGACAGATCAGCTTCTGTCTTCAGTTCAGTTATGGTGAGTGATTCCTGAGGACTAAATGATGCGGAATGGAGAACACAATTCTGGATTTCACCTAGATACTGTGTTGTTGAGATTGTGTTCAACTGGAAATAAAGGAAAACTAAACTCCATTGGCTTCAACACATAGACATTTGTCTCTCAGAACCAGGAGTCTGGAGCTGGGTAAGCAATACCTGGCAGCGCAGTGGTCGGGGTCACCCTGGGGGACCTATGCTCATTCCTGCTTACTATTCTGCCATCTTTAAACATGTGGCTTTTTTGGCCGGGTGTGGTGGCTCACGCCTGTAATCCCAGCACTTTGGGAGGCCAAGGCAGGCAGATCACGAGGTCAGGAGATTGAGACCATCCAGGCTAACACGGTGAAACACCGTCTCTACTAAAAATCCAAAAAATTAGCCAGGCATAGTGGCGGGCGCCTATAGTCCCAGCTACTCGGAGAGCTGAGGCAGGAGAATGGCGTGAACCCGGGAGGTGGAGCTTGCAGTGAGCCAAGATCGTACCACTGCACTCCAGCATGGGCGACAGAGCGAGACTCCGTCTCACAAAAAAAAACAAAAAACAAAAAACATGGCTTTTGTCCTCATGGTTACACAATACCTGAGGCGATGCCTGCTGTGCCTCCTGGCATCACATCCAAGGGCTGGGAGGAAAAAAAACGGAAAACGGACAAAAGGCTTTACTTCTGTTTTTTTGTTTTTGAGACGGAAGGAGTTTCACTCTGTCACCCAGACTGGAGTGCAGTGGCACAATCTCGGCTCACTGCAAGCTCTGCCTCTTGGGTTCATGCCATTCTCCTGCCTCAGCCTCTCGAGTAGCTGGGACTACAGGCGCCCACCACCAACCCCAGCTAATTTTTTGTATTTTTTTTTTTTTGGACTAATTTTTTGTTTGGACTAATTTTTTTTTTTGGACTAATTTTTTGGGCTAATTTTTTGTTAAATTTTTTGGACTAATTTTTTGTATTTTTAGTAGAGATGGGGTCTCACCGTGTTATCCAGGATGGTCTCGATCTCCTGACCTCGTGATCCGCCCGCCTCGGCCTCCCAAAGTGCTGGGATTACAGGCGTGAGCCACTGCGCCTGGCCAGCTTTTCTTTAAATTCAGGAAGTACCCAGGCTTGGTGGCTGATGGCTATATAAGCACTTTGGGAGGCCAAAGTGGGAGGATCACTTGAACCCAGGAGTGTGAGACTAGCCTGGGCAACATAGTGAGACCCTGTCTCTACAAAAAAATACAAAAAAATTAGCCGAGCTTGGTGGTGTGGGCCTGTAGTCCTGGCTGTGAGAGAATCACCTGAGCCCACATGTCGAGGCTGCAGTGAGCCATGATTGTGCCACTGAATTCCAGCCTGGGCAACAGAGTGTGACCCTGTCTCCAAATAAGAAAGGTTGGGCAACAGTCTTTGGGATCTGCCCTTCCTAGACCTGTCATCCTTTCCTAAGGGGGATTCGTTTCTGTCATTGGCCCCTCCATGCACCAGCAGTGACAGAGTATTTCTTCCCTTTGCAGAGAGAAGTAAGCAAGAGCTTCCCACACAATTACCTTACGTTTTCATTGCTTCTCTTCTAGGGAGACCACTGTAATTTTAGCCATGACATCGAACTCCCAAAGAAGCGAGAATTGTGCAAGTTTTACATCACTGGATTTTGCGCCAGAGCCGAGAACTGCCCCTATATGCATGATATCCTTTAGTGCCAGCATCTTGTCTGAATGAGGGTGCAGAACTTCTCTGCTCCTTGACATTAGTAACAGCTGACCTTCCTTCACTGTGCTTTCTCTTTCTGTGCCAAGAGCTTTCTGTGAATCTCTGTCTCATTTAACCCTCAGTCCACACTCAGAGGGGTCTGCCTTTCCCATCCTTCCAGGGAGTAAACTTTGAGATGCACATGGTGTATGTTCTGTTTATATAGGCTCTCAAGACTGGCCCATACCATTGGCTGAGATTCTTCCAGGTCGTTTTATACCTTGGACGAGTCGTTTAACTTCCCTAGTCTGGTTGATCATCTGAGGAAGCAGCCCCCAGCCAGTGTGGTGGGGCGGGAAGTGCCCTGCAGTCTGGAGTGCCGGGGTCTCTCCATGGATCTCCTGCCAACCCACGGAGCAGCCCTGAGCATGTCGCCTCACCTCTCTGGGCTCAGATTTCTCATCTCCAAAGCAAAGGGAGTTGGATTCTGCCTTGGGTCTGGGTGGGGGTGTGTTCTCTGAGATGAAGCATTTACCTTAATTTGCCATGAACGTGATTTCCCGTGTAAGCTGTACCACACCACTGGGAACTGCATCAATGGTGACGACTGCATGTTTTCCCACGACCCTCTGACGGAAGAGACGAGGGAGCTTTTGGATAAGGTAATGTCCAGGGGCTAACGGGGTGCACGGCTCACAGGAACTGGGACATGTGCAGTCCATTGTCTCAGTGCTATAGCCTGCCTGTCCAGCCTCTGCAGTGCCCAGTTGGGTTGATTTGGAGTTGGGCCATTCTAAGGAGGACATGGGCACTGTGTCCTCTTCTGCAGGGAGTTGAGGTGGTCACAAGTATCTTGTCTTAAGCCAGGACAGGCTTTTGCTGTTTCCTGGGGGCATGGCCAAATGAAGGGAATACTGCCTGATGTGCCTCCAAGCATGAATCCTAATCTCTAGGTGTCAATTAGAGACAGCCCACGATACACAGGGATACACGAATTACCTGTAACCCCAGCACTTTGGGAGGCTGAGGTGGGAGGATTACTTGAGCTCAGGAGTTTGAGACCAGCCTAGGCATGTAGTGAGATGTTGTTTCTACTTAAAAAAAGAAAAAAAAAATTGGTTGGGCTGGGTGCAGTGGCTCGTGCCTGTAATCCCAGCACTTTGGGGGGCCAAGGCAGGCAGATAGATCACTTGAGCTAAGGGCAACATGGCAAAACCCCGTCTCTAAAAAAAAAAAAAAAAAAAAAGGATGAAAAACTTAACTGGGTGTGGTGGCTCATGCTTGTTATCCCAGCACTTTGGGAGGCTGAGGCGGGCAGATCACCTGAGGCCAGGTTCTCAAGACCAACCTGGCCAACATGGCAAACCCCATCACTACTAAAAATATAGAAATTAGCCAGGTGTAGTGGCACATGCTTGTAGTCCTAGGTACTCAGGAGGCAGAGGTTGCAGTGAGCCGAGATCACACCCCTGCATTCCATCCAGCCTGTGCAACAGAGTGAGACTGTGTCTCCAAAAAAAAAATAAAAAAAATTAGCCAGGTGTTGTGGCACATGCCTGTGGTCCCAGCTACTCGAGAGGCTGAGGCAGGAAGATCTGTTGAATCCAGGAGATTGAGGCTGCAGTGAGCCACTGCACTCCAGAGCAAGACTCCACCTCAAAGAAAACCCACAAAAAACCAAAGATATACAGAGAAGAGACAAAGATTGTATTTTGGTGGAAAAGTTAAACGTTTTCTTGCAACTCTCAGGGTCCCCATTATGCATTAGAGAAAGTAGAGGGAATTTGGGGGTCTCTAAAGGGGAAGACTCCCTTGGGGGAGGTGTCATGGCTTCTCCACTTAGCCAGGTGACATTTGAAACTCATCCTGGCATCAGTTGTCCTCTCTGAGGAGCTAGGCTGAGGACTTTGGGTTAGGGTTAAATGCCCAAATATCAGTCCTGAGTTTCATCTGGGGAGTGAGTGGCTACGGGAACAGGTATCCTTTCAAGTGAAGCTTTCCTGCCCTCTAGTTCACAGGAGGTTCTAGGAGATTAGGTATTTTTTTGAGAATGGAAAGGATCAAGGCATCAGCACATCTGCCAGCTTCCAGAGTCCGTGTGTCAGTGACTGTCTTGTTAACTGGTGGCAGGGGTACCCATGTGAGGGGTGCAGGGGAAGCCCCATGCAAGCAGACGTAGGAGAACATCCATTCCTCATTGGCAGGGCACCTGTAGGAAAAGGTCAGTCCCTCTGGGGAGCCTGCTGCCCTAGGGTTTTTTTGTTTTGTTTTGAGACGGAGTCTCTGTCGCCCAGGCTGGAGTGCAGTGGCGCAATCTCAGCTCACTGCAAGCTCTGCCTCCCGAGTAGCTGGGACTACAGGCGCACGCCACTGCACCAAGCTATTTTCAGTAGAGACAGCGTTTCACCATGTTGGCCAGGCTGGTCTCGAACTACTGACCTTGTGATATGCCCGCTTTGGCTTCCCAAAGCGATGGCATTGCAAGTGTGGGCCACGGCGCCCAGCCTGCCCCAGGGTTTTGTAATCTGTACATTCCTGGAGTCTGAGCTGTTTGATGACAGGAAACTGGCCATTCAGGGAGGCCTCATGTCTCCTTGGGAGGACTTACCCTTCTCTGACTGAGGACTGCCCCCTGCTGGAGGCTCCAAGTTTGTGCTCTAGGCCAGTGCTACCCATAGGAGCACCACAGAACCACTTCGTTCATTTAAAATTTTCCAGTAAAAGTAAAAGTAAAAAGAAACAGGTGAAATTAATTTTTTTTTTTGAACTGGAGTCTCGGCCAGGTGCTGTGGCTCACTCCTGTAACCCTGCCCCCGCCGGGAGGCCGAGACAGGCGGATCACCTGAGGTTGGGAATTCAAGACCAGCCTGACCAACATGGAGAAACCTTGTCTCTACTAAAAATACAAAATTAGCCAGGCAAAGTGGTTCATGCCTGTAATCCCAGCTACTAGAGAGGCTGAGGCAAGATAATCACTTGAACCTGGGAGGCGGAGGTTACGGTGAGCCAAGATTGCGCCATTGCACACCAGCCTGGGCAACAAGAGCGAGACTCCGTCTCAGAAAAAAAAAAAAGAAGAAATGAAATGGCGTCTCGCTCTGTTGCCCAGGGTAGATTGCAGTGGCGCGATCTTGGCTCACCGCAACCTCTGCCTCCCGGGTTCAAGCGATTCTTCTGCCTCAGCTTCCGCAGTAGCTGGGATTACAGGCACCCGCCACCTCGCCCGGCTAATTTTTGTTTGTTTATTTTTGAGACGGAGTTTCACTCTTTTGCCCAGGCTGAAGTGCAGTGGCACCATCTCGGCTCACTGCAACCTCTGCCTCCCAGGTTCAAGTGATTTCTTGTCTTAGCCTTCTGAGTAGCTGGGATTACAGGCGCCTGCCACCATGCCCAGCTGAATTTTGTATTTTTAGTAGAGACAGGGTTTTGCCATGTTGGCCAGGCTGGTCTTGAACTCCTGATCCACCTGCCTTGACAAGTGATCCACCTGCCTTGGCCTCCCAAAGTGCTGGGATTACAGATGTGCCCCACGACACCTGGCTAATTTTTGTATTTTTAGTAGAGATGGGGTTTCACCATGTTGGCCAGGATGGTTTCAAACTCCTGACCTCAAATAATCCACCCACCTCACGAAATTATTTAACACTGTGTCTCATTTAGCTCCAAACATACTTTTAGGAAATAATAATAAATAATGGAAAAAATAGAGATACTTTATGGGAGCTTTTTGTGTGTAGTTTCAATGGCTGGAAAAAAATATTTTTTAAATGGCATTGGGATTATATTTGATCTCCCTTGGTTTCATGGAAGGCACCTATGAAGCCAGCAGAGAGAAAATATAATGGTACTTGAATCTGTTAAAAGTAAATTCTGTAGAGAGCCATGTTTTCTGAGAGCAAAACTTGATGTTTGCAAAGCTTAGAGGGTTGTAGGTTTCTGCTTGGGAGTATGCACACAGACCCCTTCCTGAAAATCCATACCTTCTTTTTTTTTTTTTTTTTTTTTTAATTTGTTTATTATTATTATACTTTAAGTTGTAGGGTACATGTGCATAACGTGCAGGTTTGTTACATAGGTATACTTGTGCCATGTTGGTGTGCTGCACCCATCAACTCGTCATTTACATCAGGTATAACTCCCAATGTAATCCCTCCCCCCTCCCTTTTTTTTTTTTTTTTTTTTTTTGAGATGGAGTTTTGTTCTTGTTGCCCGGGCTGGAGGAGTGGCGCGATCTTGGCTCACCACAACCTCTGCCTCCCAGGTTCAAGCTATTCTCCTGCCTCAGCCTCCCGAGTAGCTGGGATTACAGGCATGTGCCACTGCTCCTGGCTCATTTTTTGTGTTTTTAGTAGGGATGGGGTTTCTCCATGTTTGTCAGGCTGGTCTTGAACCCCCGACCTCAGGTGATCCCCCCGCCTTGGCCTCCCACAGTGCTGGGATTATAGATGTGAACCACCATGCCTAGCTGAAAATCCATACCTTCTAAATTTATCTGAGTGCTTTAACCAGCTCTTAGCATTATATGTTTTTGTATGTCATCTTTGGTACCAATTTTTTTTTTTTCTTTTGAGATGGAGTTTCACTCTTGTTGCCCAGGCTGGAGTGCAATGGTGTGATCTCGGCTCACTGCAGCCTCCGCCTCCTGGGTTCAAGTGATTCTCCTGTCTCAACCTCCTGAGTAGCTGAGATTACAGGTGCCTGCCTCCACTCCCAGCTAATTTTTGTATTTTTAGTAGAGACGGGGTTTCACCATGTTAGCCATATGGTCTCAAACTCCTGACCTCAGGTGATCCACCCACCTAGGCCTCCCAAAGTGCTGGGATTACAGGCATGAACCACTGCGCCTGATACATAGTTCTGTGAGTTTTTTTTTTTTTTCCAAGACGGAATCTCGCTCTGTCGTCCAGGCTGGAGTGCAGTGGTGCAATGTTGGCTCACTCCAGCCTCCGCCTCCCAGGTTCAAGCAATTCTCTGCCTCTTGAATAGCTGGGATTACAGAGGCCCGCCACCATGCCCAGCTATTTATTTATTTATTTACTTATTTATTTAATTGTTTGTTTTTTGAGATGGAGTCTCACTCTGTTACCCAAGCTGGAGTGCAGTGGTGCAATCTTGGCTCACTGCAAACTCTGCCTCCCAGGTTCAAGCGATTCTCCTGCCTCGGCCTCCTGAGTAACTGGGATTACAGGCGTGTACCAACACTCCCGGCTCATTTTTCTATTTTTAGTAGAGACGGGGTTTCACCATGTTGGTCAGATTGGTCTTGAACTCCTGACCTCATGATCCGCCCAGCTTGGCCTCCCAAAGTGCTGAGATTACAGGCTTGAACCACTGCGCCCGGCCAGCTGATTTTTTTTTTTTTTTTTTTGTATTTTTAGTAGAGATGGGGTTTCACCATCTTGGTCAGGCTGGTCTTGAACTCCTGACCTCGTAATCCACCTATCTCGGCCGGGCGCGGTGGCTCAAGCCTGTAATCCCAGCACTTTGGGAGGCCGAGACGGGCGGATCACGCAGGAGATCGAGACCATCTTGGCTAACACGGTGAAACCCCGTCTCTACTAAAAAATACAAAAAACTAGCCGGGCGAGGTGGCGGGCGCCCGTAGTCCCAGCTACTCGGGAGGCTGAGGCAGGAGAATGGCGTAAACCTGGGAGGCGGAGCTTGCAGTGAGCTGAGATCCGGCCACTGCACTCCAGCCTGGGCGACAAAGCGAGACTCCGTCTCAAAAAAAAAAAAAAAAAAAAATCCACTCATCTCTGTCTCCCAGAGTGCTGGGATTACAGGCGTAAGCCACCGCGTCCGGCCTAGTTCTATGAATTTTGACAAACACACTGAGTCATGTCACCACCCCACAAGATGGATCTAGGAAACCCATTCTGTCACCCCAGAAACTCCGCTGTGTCTTTTATAGTAAATGCCACCCCACATCTCCAGTGCCTGGCAACCGTGGGTCAGGGTCTGTCTTTGGTTTTGCTTTTTCAAGCAAATCATATAAATAGAATTGTGGGGTAAACAAGCTTTAAGAGTGTGAGTGTACACAGTGCACATGCGTGCATTTGTTGAGTCTGGCTTCTTGCACTTGGCATGAAGCCTTTGAGATTCACCCGTTATTGCAAGTAGCAGTTCATTACCATTTGTTGCTGCGTAGTGCCCCACCAAGTGGATGATCTACGTTTGTTTATCCAGTCATCCGTTGAAAGACATTTGCGTTGTTTCCATTTCCTGGTGCTTATTCACATGGCCTGATGGGCTCAGCCCACATGCCTCTGCACCTCTACAGTGTTACTTCTTGCTTGCAGAAGGTGACTGACTTTTGGAAACTCCTCTGATCACTGAGAGTCTGTCCTGGCTAGAGAGGCTTTGGCACCTAGTGGGGTGCTAGTTGTCTCAGCTGGTGTCTTTGCTGGTGGAGGGGCCAGGAACAGAGGGGCCACAGGGTCTGTGCTGGCAGGACCGATGAGCAGTTTGGGTTGACTCTGCAGTTGACTCCATGTTGGAGTCAACCAGTCAGGCAGGGCCTGAGCTCCTTTCTTCTCTGTGCTGGACCCAGCCTCTGGATTCCAGGGAATGAATGGCAGAGTGCATTGGTTTGTGTTCCTTGCTTAGTCGTTCACTCGATAAATCTCTGTGCCTTGTTTGTGGCAGGCAGTGGGGGTGGTGAGGAGGCAGGGTTAGGTCCTTGGGCAGATGCTGATGACACATGGGGAGTGTGAGTGTGTGTGCGTATGTGTGTGCGTGCGCGCACACACACACACAGGGATCAGGCCGTGAAGAACAAGTGTGGGAGCCCAGGACTCCAGCTGGGCTCTATTCACGAGGCAGACGTTCAGGAGGCTCTGTGAGGAGGTGCCAGTGGTGGCCCCAGGATGTGCGGCAGTTAGGACTGAAGAGGAGGAGGGAAATGCAGGGTGGCAGATGCAGCGCAACCCATGGCCGCACACACAGTTGAGGAAGGGCCCTTGGGCCAGGAGGAAGTGAGCCCATAGCAGTGCTGAAAGCAGCAGTACTGGGAGCTGACGCAAGGCTCTGGGCCCTCCCAGCAAGGCTCATCTCAGGTGGCGCTGCCCACACTCCAAGGGCAGAATGTGAATTCTGCCTCCACAGGTACCCCTGCTCTGCTGGTTCACACGCTGACCACACCTGGAGTAGCAGGGCTCAGAAGGACAGAGGGGTTCCACCGTGTCGTTTTCCACCCCTCCTCCATGAAGCCACATTCTTGTTGGATCTTGGGGTTCCAGGGATCAGGTACCACTGCTAATGGCTAGGAGAAGGGAAAACTGCGAACGCACAACCCCCACCAGGGGGTCCTATTTCTGTCATCCCTGCTGTTCCTGGGCAGAGGGGCAGGACTAGTTCATCCTGACCCCGTGTTAGGACCCACTAAGGGATCTGTGCTGGGGTCCCCAAGATGACCCAGAGCAACTTGCTGGGGAACTCACAGCCAAGATGTTACTGCAGTGAAGCGACACAGGCAAACTCAGCCCCGGGAACGAGTACATGAGGGCACCTGGAGGAAGCAGGCACATCCTCTCCCCGTGGACTCGCAGGGGCCATGCTGCCCTCCTCCAGTTGTGACAGCACGAGGGGCATTCTGTTTGTGAGAAGACTTGCTCAACGCCCAGGGTTTTCACTAGGGCCGTTCACCTAGGCAGCTTCTGCCTGGCATGGACCAAAATTCCAGATCTGGGGGGCAAAGCAGGCATTCAGCACAAACTGCATTGGTTGTAGAAACAGTTTAGATGCAGTGAGCCCCTCTTACTAGACAATGAATGCTGGGAGCCCTCCCAAAATCCAGCTTGCCAGACACCAGCCAAGGCCTAGCCTTGCAAGCAGGGCTTCCAAGGAGAGCAGCCAGGCCTCCTGTGTTCACTTTTCTGCATGCAATTCTAACTGATGAAACATTCTAGTCCAATTGAGATTTTGACATTTCTCATTCACTCATTGGGCATCTGCCCTGTATCAGGTCTTGTGGGGGCCCTGGGGATAAAGCAGGGAAGAAACAGTCCTGCCCTCATGGAGTTGACAGGGAGGTGAGCCAGGATCAACACGGGAATGACTGAATAATCTAACAAGGCATAGGCAGTGTTGGCAGAGAACTCCTGGTACCCCAGTAGTGAGTATAGGAGACTGGACAGACACTATGAATTGACATCTAATGAGGGACCTCAACAGTTGGGTGACGTTGAGCCACATGGGAATAATGGGGAAAAATAAAAGCCTGGGGGCAGCTTGGTCCTGGCCCTGTAGGGGAGAGCTTGACTGCTCATTGCACTGAAGTGAGGCTGGGTGGTTGGGCTGGAGGAGTTGGGATCGTGGGAGGAAATGAAGCTGCCAGAAAGCTTCCCAGTCCTCCCCAGATAGCCTCACACCCACCCCTGCTCTTAGACCCGGAGGGTTATGTTCAGGAGTTTGGGTCTTATTACAGGTGAGATCAGAGGCCCTTAACATCCAAACAGGACAGTGGAATATGATTCAGCCATAAAAAACTGAGTGACATACTACTGATAGATGTAGCAGTGTAGATGCACTTTGCTAAGTGAAAGGACCCCTCACACTCAGCGCATGAGTCTGTTCGCAGGAGCTGTCCAGCAGGGGCAGGTCTGCAGAGACAGGAAGCAGAGTGGCTGCCGGGGGCTGGGGGCAGAGGATGGGGAGTGATTGCTTAGTGTGTACAGGGTCTCTTTTGGGGGTGATGAAAATGTCCTAGAACTAGATAGAGGTGGTGGTTGCATAGCATTGTTAATGTGCCAAATGCCACTGAATCATTCAGTTTGTTTTTATTTTTGTATTTTGAAATGGAGTCTGGCTCTCCCGCTCAGGCTGGAATGCAGTGGTGGTATCTCGGCTCACTGGAACCTCTGCGTCCCGGGTTCAAGCGATTCTTCTGCCTCAGCCTCCCAAGTAGCTGGAATTACAGGTGGCCACCACCATGTCTGGCTAATTTTTTTATATTTTTAGTACCACCATGTCCAGCTAATTTTTTTGTATTTTTAGTAGAGACGGGGTTTCACCATGTTGGCCAGGCTGACCTTGAACTCCTGACCTTAGGTGATCTGCCCACCCTGGCCTCCCAAAGTGCTGGGATTACAGGCATGAGCCACCACACCTGGCCTTGTGTATTTATTTTTGAGACAGAGTCTCATCTGTTGTCCATGCTGGAGTGCAATTACGCAGTCTTGGCTCATTGCAGCCTCTGCCTCCCAGGTTCGAGTGATTCTCCTGCCTCAGTCCCCCGAGTGGCTGAGACTATAGGCATGCACTACCACACCTAGCTAATTTTTGTATTTTTAGTAGAGACGGGGTTTTTCCATGTTGGCCAGACTGGTCTTGAACTCCTGGCCTCAAGTGATCCACCCACCTCGTCCTCCCAGAGTGCTGGGATGACAGATGTGAGCCCCTGCGCCCGGCCGAATCGTTCACTTTTAATGGTTGAACAGTACACTTTCTCTTGTATTTTGCCATAGAGCAAGAACAGGCGCCCCCCTGCCCCCCACCAGCTGGTCCCGGAGAGTGGAGCAGAGAGGTGGCTGATGATTTTTGTTACGGAGCCATTGTGGTCATTAGCTTTATGTCTTTAGACCTCAAGGTCCTTGTATCGTGGAACTTCTCCTCATAAACTTCAGCTCTGAGACCTGGAGAGGTCCGTTTCCATCCTGACCCTGTCCACACCTTCTTTTGTTCTTTCTCACCCACAGATGTTGGCTGATGATGCAGAAGCAGGTGCCGAGGACGAGAAGGAGGTGGAGGAACTGAAGAAGCAGGGCATCAACCCCCTGCCTAAACCGCCCCCTGGTGTGGGCCTCCTGCCCACTCCTCCTCGGCCCCCTGGCCCGCAGGCTCCAACCTCTCCCAATGGCAGGCCCATGCAGGGTGGCCCCCCACCCCCGCCCCCGCCCCCTCCCCCGCCGCCCGGGCCCCCTCAGATGCCCATGCCAGTGCATGAGCCGCTGTCCCCACAGCAGCTGCAGCAGCAGGACATGTACAACAAGAAGATCCCCTCCTTGTTTGAGATTGTGGTACGGCCCACGGGACAGCTGGCTGAGAAGCTGGGTGTGAGGTGAGTGCCCTGGGCCCCCGTGGTAGGCAGGGAACACTATCCTGGGCCCAGCCAGGTTCCTGTTGTCAGGGTAAGCCTGGCTGGGGCAGGGTCCTGCCTCTCTCCCCAGCTGTGGGAGTCCTGGTCTGCAGCTTCCCTCACAGGTGCCTTTTCCTTCTTCTAGGTTCCCTGGACCTGGTGGACCCCCAGGGCCAATGGGCCCTGGGCCCAACATGGGACCCCCAGGGCCAATGGGCGGTCCAATGCATCCTGACATGCACCCTGACATGCACCCAGACATGCACCCCGACATGCACCCGGACATGCACCCCGACATGCAGATGGGCCCTGGCATGAATCCTGGCCCACCCATGGGCCCTGGTGGCCCTCCAATGATGCCCTACGGCCCTGGAGACTCCCCACATTCTGGAATGATGCCCCCTATCCCGCCAGCCCAGAACTTCTATGAAAACTTCTACCAGCAGCAGGAGGGCATGGAGATGGAGTCCGGACTCCTGGGGGATGCAGGTATGGGGGCTCCAGGTGTGACTGCCTGGGGTTGCGGGCTTTACACAGTGGAGTAGTCAGGGAGATGTGATTTTTCTTCCTTCGTCTGAGTCTCTTCGAAAGCATGACTCCATCTCTGTCCCATTTAATGGTTGAATGTTTTCAGTAACATAGGATTTATTATTCTGTTGAGGAAGAAAGGAATATTCTGTTTATTATCATTATAGGTTATTTCTTTTTAATTTTGCAAGCTGTGCCTGGAATCGGAAGCATGGGAAGTTAGAGGGACGAGTGTGCAAGGGTGTGAGGCTGAGAGGCTGATGGGCTCATCAGGGCTCAGTTAGTGGCCTGGCCAAAACTCTCTCTTTCCAGGCAGTTCTCGGCTTGGAGCAACCAGTGTCTACCCCAGGACTCTGCGGGTTCTGTGCCCTTTACCGGCCGTTTTCCTGCCTTTTTTTCCTTTTGCATTGGTAACATGTGTCCAGTGAGCAGAGGGGTTTAGATGACGCTGCTGCAGCTGTAGGAGATGCGATGTGCAGCCCTCTGGAGGAGGAGGGCCAGGCACAGTAGGCCCCCACTGTCCTTGCCCAGTTGCATCTTGGTGGAATGAAGCAGGTGGCAAGCGTGTAGATAGAGGAGTTGGCTCCTTTCAGCACTGGCCATTGTTAGAAGAAAAGGTAGGGTACCGTGGTGGTGGGCCAGAAGGCTCAGTGCCTCAATGGGGATGGTCACAAAAGTCTCTCTGAGAAGTGAAGCAGCACTTGCAACGTGAGGAACGATGGGACCTCTGGGCGGGGGCGACGCTGTGTTGAGCTGGGGATGCTGCTGTGGCAGCTGCTGGGGGCTGTCCCTGGGCAGAGGCAGCAGGGCAGCCACTGGAGTGCAAGGCAGGGCTTCGAGGTTTGGATGCGGCGCCGTAGGGCAGTGTGAGTCCTGTGTGTGTTTTGCAAGGCAGGTAGGAGCGGCATTGAGGATAGGGCGCTGGACGTGGGGCATAGTCACTCCAGGGTGCCTGCCCCTCTGATGGCCATGTGGAAATTTTGAGGGGTAGTTTCAGGGGCATCAGGGAGAGGCCCAGGCTAGAGATCAAAATGTAGACATGGGCTTTGACTTTAGGTGGTGCATGGAGCCAGGAGAGCAGGTACTCGAGTGAGAGTGGGTGCTTTAGAAAGATGAGAAAAACAGGCTGCCACAATGAGGTGCTGGGGTTCCCTTTAACAAAAGCATCTCAAAGGTGCATGGGAGAAGCTTTGCTGGCGGGAAACCAGAAGTCGGTCACATTGGTAGCAGTAGGTGTCTCTAGGGTAATCCTGTTTCATAAAATCCTCCCTCTAACATATGTGGTCTGTGGTTTCTGGTGTGTGCACAGACTGTATGAAGGGGGACCCTTGGCTGTCTGGTTCGTCGAGTGGGTCCCAGCTCTGCGCTGGGATGTGTCACAGAGCAGGCTGGCCCATCAGGTTCACTTGACGAAGTTGAAATTAATGTAAGCTAAGTTACAAGTGCACTTTTTTAGACACCACGTTTTAAATGCTCAGCTGCCCCAGGAAGATTTAGGTGGCCACATGTTGCCCTGCAGATCTAGAACATTTCCATCACTGCATAGCGTTCTGTGGGGAAGCACTGACTCTAGACATCCCCCCGTCTCGGTGACTCGCTGTCTCCCATGCTCACATGTCATGCACACACACAACATGCAGGAGGTGTCGCCGAGCCTGCCCTCCCCTTTACTCCTGCTGCGTCCCCACGTCAGCCTGTGCCGCTGCCCACAGCTCTTGGCTCAGGCACTGGGGGAGTGCATGGGGTGAGGTGGTTGGTGCCAGTGCCCACACCGCAGGAGGTGGAGGCCCGGTGCTTCCTGAGAGACCCCCTAATGCTGTGGAGCAGGAGGGAAGGCACTCTGGAGCCTCTGTTGGCCAGAGCAGCACTTTGGCTCATTTCATTCTCTTTTCCTGGCTTTTAATGTTGAACATGGTTGAGTTCACTATGAGATGTACAGTGTTTTCTTATTAATTGTTAGAAAGAAACCATGAAACTCCTGTCCATCCAAAATAATTAAACAAGTACAGGAAAGAGTGCAGGATCCATCCCTGGCCTCTCTAGAATCTGCGTCCCAGAGGGACTGTTTCTGTCTTTTCAAAGCCTTCTCCTTGCGTCTTACAAATGTACATCCGATGTTCCATCCTGTTTCCACCTCATAAGCGTTTGCCCCATCACTCAACCCTCTCTGAACCTCATTCTTCACATAGGCGGGGCTACCCATGGGCGGCTCCGTTCCCCTGAGACCTGGGGAGGGCAGGCAGGGGCAGGCTGTGCGTCCTTCTCCATCACCATCTGGGTGGGTTTGCAGTGAGGGGCAGGGTGGGGCTGGAGTTGGCACCTGGAGGCCCTTCCCGACATGAACCCTCGGTTCTTCCCTGCCACAGAGGACTACGGGCACTACGAAGAGCTGCCAGGGGAGCCTGGGGAGCACCTCTTCCCTGAGCACCCTCTGGAGCCCGACAGCTTCTCTGAGGGAGGGCCCCCAGGCCGGCCGAAGCCAGGCGCCGGTGTCCCTGACTTCCTGCCCTCAGCCCAGAGGGCCCTGTACCTGAGGATCCAGCAGAAGCAGCAGGAGGAGGAGGAGAGAGCGAGGAGGCTGGCTGAGAGCAGCAAGCAGGACCGGGAGAATGAGGAAGGCACGTGTCCGCCCCAGGGGCCGGGGCACAGGCCCTGGGCCACTGTGCAGGGGAGCGGAGGTGGTGGGGTGTTCCAGGTTGGGTTTCCTGTCGGGAAGGAGCCCATGGCTAGGGAGGACCCCTGTCCAGGGCCATGAAGCCGGGTTGGGGCTGCTGTATATCCCTGAGAAAACTGGCAGTCAGGGATGGCTTTCTGTGTTGGGTTCAGGAGAGACCCTGATCCCATAGAGTAGGGTGGAGGGCTGGTTTCTGGAAGAGAAAGCCGCCAACAGGATCAGCTGCCTGCGCCCTGCCAGAGGAGGCTTTAGGGAGACTCTCAAAGCCCCCGTTTTCCTACCATGTTCTCAAGGAGCCAACAGACAAGAGAGTCATTGAAATTAACCAGTAATAATCATAGTCATGAGCCACCAAGTCTCAGTTGCTGTGTGGTTGACTTAGTGGTGTCCGCCTTGGGGTAAAATGACAAGTGGTTTCTGGATCCTGAAACTAGAGGCCACAGGTGGCCCTGACAGTATCCCAGGAGCCAGTGGGACAGCAGGAAGAGGGGCGGCTCCCCTGATGGCCCAGGCTGTACTGGCCTAGGTTTTGCTTGAGCCCATGTCTGAGTCTGCCCAGCCGGCCCTGCCTCTTAGCCGGTGACTGGTTGGTCCAGCCGCCCTTCCCTGGGACATGGGGACATCGTGAGCCGGTTTGGGAGCAAGTGTTTGTGAGCCCTAGGCCCAGCCAGAACTGAGTCAATGGTATCTGCTACGAGGACCTCCAGAAGGAGGTGCCCACAGCTGCACTTGCCACAGTGGGGGCTGAACCAGCCCAGAGGTGGGCGGGAGGAGACGCCAGAGCTCTGGGTTAGGAGTCCCAGCCCAGTCCTGGCCCTGATGTCTAAGTAACGGCACCGTGCCTCTGTTTTCACATCTGTCAAATGGGCATGATAGTATCACTACCTTCTGGGGTGGTTAGTAGTTTGTTTTATTTTAAGTAACTCACTAGTGCAGTGCCGCCACTGAGGAGCGCTGGGGAGCATGGCATAAACGGTAGCGCCTTAGCTCCCTGGGTCTCCTCAGCCGCCTGCTGTGGGGAGGGAGCCTTAGAGAGGAGGACCTGAGGATCTGAGAGGCACGAGCAAAGGAGCTGCTCACGGTGGGCTGCTGTGGGGTCCAAGAGGACGGGTGGTGGATGCGCCCACTTACCCTTCCCTGCTCCTCTGTTCTTTCCCAGGTGACACTGGAAACTGGTACTCAAGTGATGAGGATGAGGGTGGAAGCAGTGTAACCTCCATCCTGAAGAGCTTGAGGCAGCAGACGTCCAGCCGACCCCCAGCTTCAGTTGGAGAGCTGAGCAGCAGTGGGCTGGGAGACCCCCGCCTCCAGAAGGGACACCCAACAGGAAGCCGGCTGGCAGACCCTCGCCTCAGCCGGGACCCCAGACTCACCCGCCACGCAGAGGCTTCTGGCGGGTCTGGCCCAGGGGATTCCGGACCCTCTGATCCTCGGCTGGCTCGCGCCCTGCCCACCTCCAAGCCTGAAGGCAGCCTTCATTCCAGCCCTGTGGGCCCCAGCAGTTCCAAGGGGTCTGGGCCGCCCCCTGCGGAGGAAGAGGAAGGGGAGCGGGCCCTGCGGGAGAAGGCCGTGAACATTCCCCTGGACCCACTCCCCGGGCACCCCCTGCGGGACCCACGGTCACAACTGCAGCAGTTCAGCCACATCAAGAAGGACGTGACCCTGAGCAAGCCCAGCTTCGCCCGCACCGTGCTCTGGAATCCCGAGGACCTGATCCCCCTACCCGTCCCCAAGCAGGACGCAGTGCCCCCCGTGCCCGCTGCCCTGCAGTCCATGCCCACCCTGGACCCCCGCCTGCACCGCGCCGCAACGGCAGGGCCCCCCAATGCCCGGCAGCGCCCAGGTGCCTCCACGGACTCCAGCACACAGGGCGCCAACCTCCCCGACTTTGAACTTCTCTCTCGCATCCTCAAGACGGTCAATGCCACCGGCTCCTCAGCTACTCCTGGTTCCACTGACAAACCCAGTGACCCCCGGGTGCGGAAGGCCCCCACCGACCCTCGGCTGCAGAAACCCACAGACTCTACGGCCTCCTCCCGGGCTACCAAGCCCAGCCCCGCTGAGGCACCCTCTCCCACTGCCAGCCCGAGTGGGGATGCCTCCCCACCAGCCACCGCTCCCTATGACCCTCGCGTGCTGGCAGCCGGTGGGCTGGGCCAGGGTGGAGGGAGCGGGCAGAGCAGCGTGCTGAGCGGCATCAGCCTCTACGACCCGAGGACTCCCAACGCGGGGGGCAAAGCCACAGAGCCGGCCGCTGACACAGGTGCCCAGCCCAAGGGCGCTGAAGGTAATGGCAAGAGCTCGGCCTCCAAGGCGAAGGAGCCCCCGTTCGTCCGCAAGTCTGCCCTGGAACAGCCAGAGACAGGGAAGGCCGGTGCCGATGGGGGCGCCCCCACGGACAGATACAACAGCTACAACCGGCCCCGGCCCAAGGCCGCTACAGCCCCCACCGCCACCACCGCCACCCCAACCCCTGAGGGTGCCCCACCCCAGCCTGGGGTGCACAACCTGCCCGTTCCCACCCTCTTCGGGACGGTGAAGCAGGCACCCAAGACGGGCTCAGGAAGTCCATTTGCTGGGAACAGTCCGGCCCGCGAGGGCGAGCAGGATGCGGCGTCCCTAAAGGATGTTTTTAAAGGCTTCGACCCCACGGCCTCCCCCTTTTGCCAGTAGTGTCCAGCCAGAGCCGCGGCTCCAGCCGCCCCTCCTGGGGTGGCATTCAGGGCAGCACCCGGGGTGGGGAGCTTGTTGGGGAGGGGAGGCAGGCTGGGTGTTCCTTTTTTCTTTTCTCCCTTTTCTTTTCTTTTGCTTTTCTTTCTTTCTTTTTTTTTTTAAGTAGTACTTTCTTTGAGATTTATAAATTGTATATAACCATCTTAAGTTCTAGTCAGTGTGGCGGGCTCAGGAGCTCCTGCTGAGCAAACTGACTCGTGCCCGCAAACCTGTGAACTGTCGCCAGTGTCCAGACTCAGACCCCATGGACTCTGCCTGGCCGGGCCTCGCTGGAGGCCCAGTGGGTTTTTTGGGCAAAGCATGGCCCCTTTTCCCCAGGACAAAGGGAACAGTTGGTGTCTTGGAAGGCACTGAACGCTCCTCACCCTGTGCCCAAAGAGACCCAGAACCAAGACCATGGCAGGGCCTGTGTGGAAGCAGGTTCAGGCGTTTCTAGAATCCTGGGGTGCACCATCACTGTCTCTTCAGTGCAGGGCGTGACAACCCACTCAGGAGATGGTGACAGTGAAAAGGTATTAAGTAAAGAGCCCTCAGTGGCAATTGGGGCTCCCTGGCACGTGCCTGCTCCTGTCCCTGCATTACTACGTGTGCCCTACCCGCCACCCTCCGTCCAGAGCAAGCCAATGTCCCCCAGCCTGCAGCAGAAGCCTCCAGTGTGAGAACAGGACCCAAAGGCAGTGGGGGCTGGTGTGGGGCAGAGTCCCGAAGAGCCACCTCCAGGAGGCAGCCCCTTGGAGCACGTACCAGTTTTCTGTCAGTATTAACCCGACCTGTCCCATCAGGGCCACACCCTCCTTGCCAACACCAGGGTCTGTCCTGGTCCTCAAGCCACGCACCCGCTATGACCGCGCTGCAGCTCGGCCCCGGACAGCTCCAGGATCCGTGAAGTGGCTGCGCCGCCAGGCCCCAACAGCAGGGGCCCTAGGGTGGCTCCTGGCCAAGTGTTTCTTCTGTTTTCCTCGCACCTCCTCACACTGTGACCTGCAGGGCGTCAGGTATTGATGTGTTCAGGTTTCCTCTCCCAACCCAGCAGATGCAGGGGTTCCAAGGTGTGTTGCTCTGTGAGATTTGTGTACACTTCAGAAAGGGGCTAAGGAGAGTGGGAAGCCTGCAGCCAGGGCAGGGGAGGGGAAGCCTCTGCTGCCCCCACACTCCCACCCTGGCTGAGGGCCAGCCTCCTCTGCAGAGCCCTGGAGGAGGCCCACCTATGGACACAGCCTGGGAGATGGGCACAAGGGGTGCTGGGGGAGGCCTGCTATCCTGCCTCTGGGCCACTTGAGGGGCCTCAGGAAGTGTGTGCTTGTAGCTCCATCTGCCTGTCTCCCTGGCCCGCTGTGTGGCTGCAGGCCAATCTCTTCATTGCTGACCAGGAGGAGACCTGGGCACCTGCCAAGGGATTCCCCTTCCCTCCTCCTCAGGGTGGGGTGAACAGGCTGCTATCCCACCCCACCCCAAAAAGAGAAAAATGAAAAACTCATAGTTTGGGGCCAGGAGGCAGTGTGTCCTACAGGGCTGCATAGCCCTGAGGGGTCAGTGCTGGGATCAGGTTGGTTGGTCTTTTTGTCTTTTTTTTTTTTTTTTTTTTTAACAATCATTAATGAGATTTGTCTTCAGCCACCAGTGTTGGCCTTGAAGCAGAGGGCGCAGCCCTTGGTGTTTGTAAAATAAGTATGAATACACAGTGTGGCAGTGTTTTGGGTTTTTTTTTTTGTTGTTTTTCCTCTCCTTTTGAGGATTTTCTTTTGTAAAAGAAAATTAAATATTTTTTAAACTGAAATCTGTGGATGAAATAGAAGCTGGAGCCCTCCTCTTGGAATATTCAGCCTAAGAACCTCATGGGACTATGAATTCACCTGAAATTCTCATTTGCCATCAGGCCGAGCTTTTAAAGAAAAATTGTTCTCTAACCAGGATTGTAACAAAAGTGTAAATACTGTTTCAGAGTTGAGAGTTGGTGGTGCAAATATGTATATAATGAACTGTATTTTTACAATGATCGCCGCATGACTATTTCACACCCTTTTTATACTCCATACCTGTCTTCCAGAAACGTCACCTGCCTTTCTCCTGTGGTCTCTTAATCCAATAATTGTATTACTGCCATTAAAGGATGCAGTTATTTTAAAAAGCTTGTGGGTCTGGTCTCTCCAGGCTGCCCCAGACCATCCCTTGCCCTGAGAATTAACGAGGGTAGAAGATGGTGGGGCGGGAGTGGGGGGTGTGTGAAACATGGACCTATTCTCTTAGCAGTTGGCCTCAGGGTAACATTCTTGAAGACAGGGACAATTTGTACCTCCAAACAGCGTCAGCTGTCCTCAGTGGACGGCAGTAGATCACCTACTGTCAACATCCTAAGGTCCCTGAGCTTCGTGCGGGCCACTCAGCATTTGAGATCCGGGGGTGATCTGCAGCAGCCTGGATCTGCCCTCGCAGTGCTCACAGGAAAAGACTGTTAACGCAAACGGGACAGCTGGACTGGCTTCTAGGGACGGGAAGAGCTTTAGCGGGCACCCTACCCGTGTGATAGCCAGGGGTATCCTCTGAGGAGGGGTCTGTTCTGATGTTGGAACTTATTTTGAAATGCATCAACAAATATGAAGGATGGTTGGATAGATGGCTGAATGTGTGATCAATACAGTTGGAGTGCAGTGGCTCACGCCTCTCATCCCAGCACTTTGGGAGGCTGAGGCAGGAGGATCGCTTGAACCCAGTAGTTCCAGGCTGCAGTGAGCTGCGCTCCAGCAGGCCAGGCAACAGAGTGAGACCCGTCTCTTTAAAAAAAAAAAAAAAAAAAAAAAAAGGTTGAGACCCAAACCCAGCAAACGATACACAGGGTTTTCTTGGTTTTCTTGGGGTTTACATACAGGGGAGAGTCCCTCAGCACCAGGATGGGCAGAAGAACTGCAACAGCTTTAAAAAGGCATGCTGTTGGCTGGGCACGGTGGCTCATGCCTGTATTCCCAGCACTCTGGAACGCTGAGGCGGGCTAATCACGAGGTCAGGAAATCGAGACCATCCTGGCCAACATGGTGAAACCCCCGTCTCTACTAAAAATGCAAAAATTAGCTGGGTGCGGTGGCGAGCGCCTGTAATCCCAGCTACTTGGGAGGCTAAGGCAGGAGAATCACTAGAACCCAGGAGGCAGAGATTGTGCCACTGCACTCCAGCCTGGGTGACACAGCAAGACTCCGTCTTGGGAAAAAAAAAAAAAAACAGAGCTGCAAGAGTGGACCATGTCGCTCAGGAAATGCGTGGAGCCTGAGGAACATCTTCATTGGAGGACGGTATGGAGGCTGAGGGAGGGCAGAGATGGCCACCAGCACGAGGATGTGGTCAACCCCTCCACAGCCCAAGGTTGGACACTAGGACCAACAACTGGTGCCAGATGCTCTTTGGGTACCTGCTGTGATCCACTGCCCGGATTCTATAGGTGTTAACTGTTCCCTGTATTTTCTTGTTTTTTTGTTTTTCTTTTCTTTTTTTGTGGCAGGGTCTCACTCTGTCCCCCAGGCTGGAGTGCAGTGGTGCTATCTTGGCTCACTGCAACCTCTGCCTCCCCAGTTCAAGCGATGCTCCCGCCTCAGGCTCCCGAGTCACTGGCACGACAGATGTGACAGGTGTCTGTCACCACACCCAGCTAATTGTATTTTTAGCAGAGACAGAGTTTCGCCATGTTGGCCAGGCTGGTCTCAAACTTCCAACCTGAGGTGATCTGCCCGCCTCAGCCTCCCAAAGTGCTGGGATTACAGCTGTGAGCCACTGCGCCCGGCCGGCTGTTTGCGTTTTCTGAATTCCATTTTGGCATTCCATTGGTATTAGAGCCCCAGGGCTGCCTACATATCTCTACAAACTGGGTGGCTTAACATGACAAATTTGTTCTAGAGGCCAGAAGTGCACCATCAAGGTGTCTATGGGGTCAGGCTCCCTCTGAGGCTCTAGAGGAGAATCCTTCCTTTCCAGTCCTGTCTTCTGGTGGCCGTGGGCAATCCTGGGCTTGTGGTGACATCGCTTCAATCTCTGCCTCCAACTTTTCCTGGGGCTTTCTCCTCTGTGTCTGTGTCTTCTGTCTCTTAGAAAGACTCTTGTCACTGGATTTAGAACCCAACCAGGTAATCAAGAGTAATCTCATCTTGAGATCTTTCATTAAATATCCTGTTTCCCAGCTAAGTGTGGTGGCTCACACCTGTAATCTCAGCAATTTGGGAGGCCAAGGCAGGAGGATTGCTTGATGCCAGGAGTTCAAGGCCAGCCTGGGCAACATAGGGAGACCCCCATCTCTACAAAATACAAGAAAAATTAGCTGGGTGTGGTGGTGCACACCTGTAGTCCCAGCTACTTGGGAGGCTGAGGGAGGATACCTTGAGTCTGGGAGGTCAAGGCTGCTGTGAGCTGTGATCATACCACCACACTCTGGCCTGGACAACAGTGAGAGCCTGTATTTTTTTTTTTTTTTTAAAGACTCTGTTTCCAAATATAGTTCATTAGTTCATTGACAGGTTCCAGGGCTTAGGATGTAGAAATATGTTTTAGGGGACAACAACCCTGTTACCCTGCTCTTTTTTTTTTTTTTGAGACGGAGTCTCACTCTGTAGCCCAGGCTGGAACGCAGTGGCATGATCTCAGCTCACTGCAACCTCCAAGGCGGGCAGATCACCTAAGGTCAGGAGTTCAAGACCAGCCTGGCCAACATGGTGAAACCCCATCTCTACTAAAAATGCAAAAATTAGCCAGGCATGGTGGCAGGCGCTTGTAATCTCAGCTACTTGGGAGGCTGAGGGAGGAGAATTGCTTGAACCCAGGAGGCGGAGGAGGTTGCAGTGAGCTGAGATTGTGCCACTGCACTCCAGCCTGGGCGACAGAGCAAGACTCTGTCTCAAATAAATAAAGAAAATAAAATTATTAATCAGAACCATCATTCCATCTACTTTCTTTTCTTTCCTTTTATTGTTTTTTCTTCACCCTCCCTTCCCTACCCTTCTTCCTTTTACTTTCCTCTGTAGACTTCTCACGTCCTTGCAACTGTATTCATTGTTGGGTTTCTAACTGTATTCTCTGTTGCCACTGTAACAAATGACCAAAAACCTAGTGACTTAAAAAAACATAAATGTATTATATTTATTATTTATTTATTTATTTTTGAGACAGAGTCTTGCTCTGTCGCTCAGGCTGGAGTGCAGTGGCATGATCTCAGCTCACTGCAGCCTCCATCTCCTGGGTTCAAGCAATTCTCCTACCTCAGCCTCCCTAATAGCTGGGATTATAGGTACCCGCCACCATGCCCAGCTAATTTTTGCATTTTTAGTAGAGACAGGGTTTCACCACGTTGGCCAGGCTGATTTCTAACTCTTTTTTTTTTTTTTTTTTTTTTGAGACGGAGTCTTGCTCTGTCACCCAGGCTGGAGTGCAGTGGCCGGATCTCAGCTCATTGCAAGCTCCGCCTCCCGGGTTTACGCCATTCTCCTGCCTCAGCCTCCCGAGTAGCTGGGACTACAGGCGCCCGCCACCTCGCCCGGCTATTTTTTTTTTGTATTTTTTAGTAGAGACGGGGTTTCACCGTGTTAGCCGGGATCGTCTCTCGATCTCCTGACCTCGTGATCCGCCCGTCTCGGCCTCCCAAAGTGCTGGGATTACAGGCTTGAGCCACCGCGCCCGGCCTGATTTCTAACTCTTGACCTTGGGTGATCCACCCGCCTCGGCCTCCCAAAGTGCTGGGATTACAGGTGTGAGCCACCACACCCAACCACAAATGTATTCTCTTACAGTTCTAAAGATCGGAAGTCTAAAACCAAGATGTAGCCAGGTGTTGTGGCTCACATCTGTAATCCCAGTACTTTGGGAGGCCAAGGTGGGAGGAGCTCTTGAGTCCAGGAGTTGGGGACCAGTCTGGGCAACATGGCAAAATCCCATCTCTACCAAAAAATCCCAAAATAGGGCCGAGCACAGTGGCTCACACCTGTAATCCCAGCACTTTGAGAGGCTGAGGCAGGTGGATCACGAGGTCAAGAGATTGAGACCATCCCGGCCAATGTGGTGAAACCCCGTCTCTACTAAAATTACAAAAATTGGTCTGTACTCTCAGCTACTCCAGAGGCTGAGGCAGGAGAATTGCTTGAATCCAGGAGGCGGAGGTTGCAGTGAGCCAAGATCGTGCCACTGCACACCAGCCTGGAGACAGAGCAAGACTCCGTCAGAAAAAAAAAAAAAAAAAAAAAAAATTAGCAGGGTATGGTGGTTCACTCCTGTAGTCCCAAGCTACTCCAGAGACTGAGAGGGGAGGATCGCTGGAGCTGGGGATGTCTAGGTTGCAGGGAGCCATACTCGCGCCACTGCACTCCATCTTGGGTGACAGAGCAAGACCCTGTCACAAAAATACAAATTAAAAAAATAAAACCGGCCGGGCGCGGTGGCTCACGCCTGTAATCCCAGCACTTTGGGAGGCCGAGGCGGGCGGATCACAAGGTCAGGAGATCGAGACCACGGTGAAACCCCGTCTCTACTAAAAATACAAAAAATTAGCCGGGCGCGGTTGTGGGCGCCTGTAGTCCCAGCTACTCGGGAGGCTGAGGCAGGAGAATGGCGTGAACCCGGGAGGCGGAGCTTGCAGTGAGCCGAGATCGTGCCACTGCACTCCAGCCTGGGCGACAGAGCGAGACTCCGTCTCAAAAAAATAAAAAATAAAATAAATAAATAAATAAATAAATAAATAAAACCAGCTGGGTCCAGTGATTCACACCTCTAATCTCAACACTCTGGGGGCCGAGGTGGGTGTATGGCTTGACCCCAGGAGTTTGAGACCGGCCTGAGCAATATGGTGAGACCCCCATCTCTACAGAAAATACAAAAATTAGCCAGGTGTGGTGGTGCGTGCCTGTGGTCCCAGTTACTGGGGAGGCTGAGCCCTGGAAGCTGAGGTTGTAGT